CCCCCCCCCCCCGTATCGCTGTTTATTTAAGGTCGAAAGCTTCGCAAGCAAAGCTGCAGCCACTCTCTCCCTTATACTTGCATTGCATGCAGGAGAGCACACCCCACGTATGCCGTTGTCATTCTCCAACGCAAGTTGTATAGCAAGAGAGCATAGTGCACTTGTGCTGCTGTCATTCTCCAACGCAAATTGTGATGTAGTGTATTGTGCACGGAATGACATATGACGAGCAGTGCTTGCATGTGTGCAGTGTTTATGCTCGAAGTTCAAGAATTTTCGCACTCTCCCACTCCGTCCACATCGGTGGGGTGGCAGGTAATCTCTTGCATCCATCTTGTTTTGTTCGATGCGAAGAGAGACATGCCTACCGCCGCCTGCCGAATGATTCCGCAAAAGTGCGGCTTCGTGTGCAGAGCTGGGTGAGTATGTCTAATAGGATGGCATACCTCACGCAGCTGCTGTCATTCCCCAACGCAGGCTGTACAACAGGAGAGCATACATCATCTATGCTGCCGTGATTTTTCAACGCCAGCTGTGTAGTCGACGATGTTGCGTTTAGGAGCACGAGCAGACACTGTCCCGACATCCTTCGGCATTTATGTAGGAGAGTATTCTGACGGATCTGTTGCGGTTCTTGCCACCGAACTTTCTAAATACAGCTGGAGCTGCACGACTGGCATCATGACAAATATCCAAGATTGACGCTTGCGGTATGATCGAAATCATACCTGGGCTAGCAAGCTAGAATCATCTTCTGATCTCTTCCTTTTTCATCTTTTCGATCTTACCCGACTGCTTTTCGAGCTTGTCCGGCTAGCATTCAGCACTTTTTCGGATCTTTGCATCGTTTCGCAGGTACCTTACACGAGCGGACAGGTAAAGAGTGTGCGGTCTTTCTTTGCCAGTTCACGCACTCATCTTACCTGCCTCGCCGCTGGCTTCGGTGACAGGGTGTCACACACACAGCTGCCCCTTCAGTGCACTTGCAACATGGGCAACACAGCGCACTCCGACCTACCCATTCCACACAGTGCACTCCGACCTGCACATTCCAACAAGGGCAACACAGCGCACTCCGACCTACGCAGTCCAACAGTCCAACATGGGCGACCCAGCGCACTCCGACCTGCGCAGTTCACAACAAAATACACGTTGCTGCATTTGTTATATGTTTTTTGTGTTGTCTGGTGTTTGCGGTGCGTGCATGAGTGAGGGAAAATTTAGAGAGACAGGACGGTCAAATGAAGAGGTGATGAACACACGTGCAAAAGATCACAAACGATTGGAGAAGCGCCCCTCTGCAGGACGGTGAAATGTGAGGGTGATGAGCACGCACGCAAAGAGCACACAACGAGTGGAAAAGCGCGCTCCCTGTATGCATCTTCTTCCTTGTGCTGATATGCGAATATGGGCATTTTCGCAGGTCTGAGCCCCAAGCCACCCCAATAAAACTGCTTATTTAAGGTCGAGAGCTTCACAGGCAAAGCCGCTTGCTTCTGGACGAAAACACATCTACTTTCATCTTCCCTTGCTTGTTGTGATATGCGAATATTGGAGTTCGCAGGTCTGAGCCCCACATATCGTTGTTTACTTAAGGTCGAAAGCTGCGCAAGCAAAGCTGCAGCCACACTTTCCCTTATGCTTGCATTGCATGTAGGTAAGCACACTTCATGTATGCTGCTGTCATTCTCCAACGCAAGTTGTATATAAAGGGAGCATACTGCACGTATGCTGCTGTCACGCCCCAGCACAAACTCTCATTCTCCAACGCAAGCTGTACAACAGGAGAGCATACATCATCTATGCTGCCGTGATTTTTCAACGCCAGCTGTGTAGTCGACGATGTTGCGTTTAGGAGCACGAGCAGACACTGTCCCGACATCTTTCAGCATTTATGTACGAGAGTATTCTGAATGATCTGTCACGCTCATCCGTTTTGCCACCGAGCTTTCTAAGTAAAGCTGGAGCGGCACTATGACAGATATCCAGCCAAAGTACGCACTCGGGTTGATCCATGGGTATGATCGAAATCATACCTGGGTGAGGATCATCTTGCACCTTTTCTTTTTCATGTTTTCGATCTTATCCGACTTGCTTTTCGATCTTGTCCGGCTTGCATTCAGCGCTTTTTCGGATGTTTGCATCATGTCGCATACACGAGAGGGCAGATAAATGAGTGTTCGGTCTTCGTTGGCCAACGCACGCACTCATCTTACCTGCCTTTCCGCTGGCCCCCTGCTGTGTTCTTCGCCTTTGGTGACAAGGTGTGACACACACACACACTCACACATACACGCCAGCCACTCTGGCTCTTGGTCACCGAAATCGCTTGATGCACTCACGGCTGACCAGAAAACATGCTCATTGGCAAAATACCCACTCAGATGTGAAGCACTTCTGCACAAAACAACAGTCGGAGGTGAAACAAAAGCTTCCGATTTACTTGCACCTGCAGAAGACGTGGAAGAGCGGTGTCAGATCCGATCTACTTGCGCTTGCACAGCGAGCACGCGAAGACACCCTGCAGGGCTTCGTTGGGCAGAGCGCTATGGGTTTCTTTTGCCTTTGGAATCGGGTTCCCTCCTTTGAAAATGCATTCACGTAAGACTGCACTAGCACCCTTGTGTCCATGGGTTTCCACCCACCCACCCACTCACGTGAAGGGAGTGCGTTGCTGCAAAGTTCTGAGCGGCATTCGGAAGCGAGATTTCCAGACAAAGAATTGCCAACAAATCCTGTCTCCCAGCAGTCGCTTTATTATTGGGGGGAATTCTGGTGCCCGGGCCGTTAGAGCAAGTTGTAAGTGTGATCCGTTGTCGAAGGCAACTTGGGCCGAGCGCGGCTGGTGCCGCGCGGAGCGCCTGGCTCATGCCCTTGCAGTGCTCCGGCAGAATCGTTGATTCAATTTGGGATATGGTGCAGCTGTATGGGACAGGTATCGGAGGCGTGAGACTTGGGTTGTATATTTTGCATTGGGCGCTTGAAGAGGCACGTGTCCTTAGAAGTTCAAGCAGGAATTCAGAAGAGACGATCGCTCCGTTGAGTTGCTGTCTACACTTTGCTGTCTGCGTTTCTAGAAGAACGTGAGCAGCAGAAGTTGTTGCGTGCGTCGGGCAAGTTGCACATTCCTTAGCAGCAGTTTTTTGCTTGTATTTTCAGATCAGCAAGGTGCCGATGAGTAGGATCTATTGAGTAATAGAAGGTCTGTTCGTCCCAGGCGAGGATCTAATAGCGGAGTTGCAAGTATGGCCAAGATGCTGTGGTACGTCGTCGCAGGTGCGAAAGCATGCTTCCATGCTGGTGGTCGAAAGTGCCATGCACCAGACCTTGGCAGGAGTTGTGAAAAGCACCTGTTTGTTCTGATTTTGTAGGTCACATGCAATACAACTTGACAAGCTGCATAAGATTTTGGGTTGTTGTAGTAAAGAAATTCGCTGGCATCACAGACCCTGTTTTGCCTTCTGCCTCCCACAGGCAAAACAAAGAAGGTGATACTTAAAATTAACGCTGCAACGTCCAAGGATTTCTTAGGATTTAGGGCACTTTAAGGTTCCAGCGTCACATTGGAAGCTCCAGCGGGGCGTGTAGGATGGCATAAGACCTCGGGTCGGAGCAGGAACTTTGGTTTCCGAAGAATAGTTGCTCTCTCAAATCCACACGGCTTTACTCCTTGACCCTGAAGGTCGGTGAGGCTCATGGAATGCTCAATGCGCCGGGGGACGGCAAATTCACAGATGAGTCGGACCGAACTAGCCTTGGGCCAGTGATCGTCCCTCGGCCATCAGGGTTGGTCCGATTTCTCTACAGACCCTTGCAAAGCACGATGCACGAAGCACACAGAGAAGTGCAGGTCCAGATGGTTTGGAACAAGCTCGTCTACTTCCTTGAGCAAGGTGACTGGCACAGCTACCGATGCATGCTGAACGAGCAGCGAGTGCGATACCTCAAGAGCCTGGATGTGGATCCCATTGATGGACTGATACCCAAACCTCCCACGAAGCTTGGGCCCAAAGTTTTGCTGAGGGTCGAGTTGACTTTCGCGGAGCTGAAAGCCTTAAAGATCTTGTGTGGCCGTATGCATCGGAGATGCACCTATACTTACGCTATCGCGTGCATTGACTCTGTTATGTGGTCCTGGATGGATGTTCAGGAGCCGGTTCCAACTCGAGGATGCCTTCGTAGGTGGAAAACTCAAGAGCTTCACGTGGCCCAAGAGCGTTCTCGAGATGGCTATCACATGCGCCTGAAAGGTGTTCGTGATTAGTCTAGGCTAGTACCGCCACTGCAACTCTGGAGCCTTGTGCCTTTGGGGTTGAAGGGCGAGGTCGTGAAACAGGCTTGTACGAGGGGTTCGAATCCAAGGAACATCGATCCATTTTCATCGCCGCAGACCTTCGTGCTGGCAAGGTTGCCGTGCTGGAACAATGTAGAAACCCTCACATGCTTCAGGAAAGATAAGGATGCTTGAACAGCGAAGGCCAGTTGCCCAGACCCATGCACATCTGCATCTTGTGTTTGTAGGAGAAGATATGTGCCGGTTTTGTTTGACAGGCACAGCCAAAAAACCAAAACCACACACACTCACGCTCGCACACATGGTCACATTGCTGCAAAGAGTTCGGTGGCGTCCCCGCAGGTTTCTGCACCAGAACGGGTTTCAAAGCCCACTGGAGAGGGACGCGAGGGGATGGTCGCCTTTGTGCTTTGCCGCGATGAACGGCGATGTCATGCTTGTGGAGGCCCCTCCAATGTAAGACTTTGAGCGCTGGCTTTCAAAAGCTTGCATGTTTAGGAGCTACAAACAATGCGAGCTTCGTTAGTACATGCGGCAGGCACTACTGGACAGCAAGGCTGACGTGAACGATGCCATTACAAAAGCAAAGAAGGAAATGAGCCTTGCCTGCTGATATGGCGTATAGGACTCTGCCTGGTGAGCAGGTTGCGTTCGTTTTCCCGATTTCGCGTTTGGGGCTCAGGGCGTGTAGGGTTAGGAGACACATACTCCGACGCCACTCGCGATACATGCCCTTTGCTTTGTCGAAGAACCCTCAAGTGGCCTCTCACGATTATTTTGGGAGCACCTACGGGCAGGAAATCTTGTTTGCACTGCGGCGAGCAGAACCGATTCTGCACTTCGGGCCCTTGGCCATACGTCACGGCACAATCAGTGGATAACTTTGGGCCGGTGGCTGCCCTGCACTCCCAATTCAAGCCTTTCACAAGCTAAAGCCACCACCCATGGAGAACTTGTGTGTGGGCCCGCACATGATCACATGTCAAGGAGCCTTCCAAAAAGGATGTCGGTGTTGTCCCTTGCGGCATTCTACCACAGCAGCGAAGTGATGCGGCTGCTGTTGGCGCGGAGGGCCAAGTTGATGCTGGGCCATGTGAGTACATGGGCTTGGGGTTGGGGATACAATCTTGGCCCTGGCAACGGCAAGTTGCGAGATTCTTGCTTCCAGGGCTTTGCGAGCGAGAGCATGCTGAAACAGATGACTGTTTAGATGCATCTATGCAGCGACGCTTGTGGAATTGCTGCTAGCCACACAGGCTCCTGGACATGCCGTCCTCCACATGTTAATCACAGAAGCTCGAACGACTCTAATGGCAATTTCCGTTCACACCTGGGGGATGGGGTTTGGGGTCCGAAGTACATAGTAGCTCCGCAAGTTGAGGAGTGCCACTGATGCTCATCAGGGAACGGCACTGCACTGGGCCAGCTGTTCCGACAATGTGTCTTGGCTCTATGCAAACTGGATTCTCACTGTGGCTCGCGGTCGCACCGCATCTCCACTGCGTCTTCTGCCCTGCAATGCTGCAACCAAAGCTACCTTTTCGAAACTCGCTTGTCGAAGCACCGAAAACCCGACCTGCAGCACATACGACACTCGCCAGTCTTGCACAGAGCTTGAGGTTCCGGGCTTAGGCTTGGCAGTTCAAGTATGTTCAAGGTGCAGAGGTTATCAGGGCTCTGGGCTCTACAACACGCGAGTCCAGAAGCACTCCTCATGCGCTCGAACCGCATTCCGGCTTCATGTTGACCCATGGACTGCTTAGTTCACATCTGCATGTTGGTGGTCACAAGACTCTTGTTCTGCATGAATGGGTCGTAGAACAGAAAGAGTCCACAAACTGACCGAGCTATCAGAAAGAGTTTCGGATGTCCCTTGGGTTTGGCTTTGACCCCCCAAACCACCCTTCAAGCCTTACGGCTCAGAACCCTGTCAAAGCAACGGTGAAGCCTGAACTTCTGAAGTCTCTGGGCCAGGCAGAGGGAGTTCGAATTCTCTGTGCTGCCGGGGCCGATCCAAGCAAGCAGCACCTAGCCTTTGCAAAGCTTGAGCTGACGGGAATAATTTTGCGCCTGGTTTTGAGTTGTTAAGATGCCTTCAAGCATTGTAGAGCTCCGGAGAGTTAATGGAATCTTTGGTGGGGCTCAAGCACCGCGCGTGCTCCATCAGTATAGCCATGACGGGGTATGTATTAGCCTGTGGGCTGAGCTGCTTGCTGTTGAGCTTTGTTCGCGAGTCGTTCCTTTGTGGTTCAGCTCTCGGTTGGGCCTTCTCGCATGCAGCCACATACCCGACCAAGGATCAGGGTGAGACGAGTCCAAAGAGTAAGGTGGCCACAGGAGATACCTCACACGATTCTTCACCTGCATACACACTCAAATCCGGAGACCACTACCCTGGTTCCTTTTTTGGGAGCCCTTAGAGATTCGACCCTACATCCCAAGGTGCTTACCGGGTCTCAATCCATTCAATTTGGCCTCTCGTCAGCAGTCCTGGAGCATGGTAGGCTTTTTTTTGGCAAATAGTAGATACCAAAAATTCACTACTATATGATGGCATACCATATAGACCTTCTACTGCGACATATAACAGGGCATACTTCGAGTCCTGGGTTGCTTGCTTCTTGAGACTCATCTTTCTAACCAGTTAAGGTTTGCTGCGGCTTTGGGGTTGCAGTACTGCAGGGTCCCTCACTGGAATGCAATGGCAAGAACCTTTAATGCGCTATGTATTTGACCATGTCAACAGCCCTTGGAGGGAGCTTCGCACGATTCAAGAGCTGCAGAAGTTTAGGAAGATTCTTTGGCGTGTGGAATGTCCACGCAGCATTGGATCTCACGGGCATGGCTGCAGTTCTCTGTTGAAGTTGAAGGCAGGTAAGCTCAGGCAAAACAGCCCCCGAACCCAAAGGCTCAAAAACCAGACCTGCCCAGCCCTTTTACCCTCTACAATGTCCAAAAGCCTGGAACTGGATCAGGCCTGCGCCTGTTCTACAGCGAATGCCATGAAGGAGTTGTTTGCACAGCCCCTTTGCCGCCAGTGCGGGGCTAGGGGCTTTGCCCGACTCCGATTGCAAGGTCCCTAGTCGTATGCCGAAAAGTCGGCCTCGGCCCGCATGCTTTTGGAAGCTCTATCTCGGCACCTTCGGTAGTTGAGAAGGTCGAAGTTTGAAGAGGTGCGCAGCACCTAGCACGAACTCCACAGCACCGTCCGTGTCAGACATGTTGAATGGCAAGGGCAGCATCCCGTACTGAAGGCCTTGCATAGATTTCAAGCAAAGTGCAGTTGTTGGCGATGGTTGGGTTGTCCGAGCAAGCAATCTGGCATTGAATCAGTTCACATTGCAATGTTTAACGCGAACATCAGCATACGACTGCCTGCTATGAAGCAAAACATGACCAAGGTCACTTGTACATCCAGGGTTCGAAACTTGAAACCTTGCGACGACGAGCTCCGACAGATTTTGTACAACCGAGCCTCGTGAGAGCGAGCCAAGCGGCCTAGTTGCACGGCAGAACCGCAGGCCAGACCACGAGACCTCGTCGCAGAGAAAGGTTGCAGGCCCTTCTATTACCCCGCAGCTGAGGGTTCCATCCCTCGATTTGCGGCACAGCCTGCATTTCGCAATGATGCTGCTCGGCATAGTTGTCATGTATTGGTCGGATGCGACAAAGGGATGCGTTGCTGCCGATGTTTTTTTTTGTTTGCGGAGGTGTAGGCCGCAGCATACATCACGACTTGAGCTGTTTTGTGGCGAGCGGGGTGGCTCATGGGGCTCGCATCACGTGCGGGCAGGTTCTTCGGAGGCTACTCCGAGACCGTCTCGTTTCTTATTGAGGCTTGTCTCAACTTGCAGAGACTGTAGCTTTCGGGCGAGGCCATGCGGAGGGGGATCTCAACACCCAAGCTGTGGTCGCTTGAGGCTTCTGGAAGCTACTCCAGCTACTGGTCGGTCATAGCATGTCCTAGGTTCCCAGCCGGGACCCCGGGGCGCTTTCAGAGCCAACTTAGGAGGTGAAGGCAGACGTGAATGAGCGCTTCCAAGTCCGGCTGCAGGAGCCGGTCTGGTGGCTTATCATGAGCCTGTGCCCGATTAGAAGTGTTGTTGAATTATGTTGCTGAAAGTGGCCACAATGATAAGACAGCTAGTCCATAGTTGACAGCTACGCGACTACAGTCTCAAATGTCCAAAGCTCCAAGTCCGAAGATCCAACCTTCACGAAGCCCGAACAGAACCAAGGAACATGGCAGGGATCAGGCACAGGCTGAGCCCATCCAGGCTGACTTCTTTGGCTTCTTGGTCTTGGTCTTCGAAGCTGCGGCTTAGAGTTGTTGGGGCTGGTGCCACATGTTGAGGTGCACGTAGTGCTACAAGTCATAGGGACTACTCAGTACTAGGAACTTAAGTTTTGCCAGAACTCCTTTCACCCCGACGCCCAACGCACCATCCCTTCACTCGCGTTTTTAGAGGCCGCCCCTTACAGAAGATGCCACAACCCAAGAGTTGCAGCCAAGGCTTACCATCATGCAGGAGCGACGCCGCTGATGTTCAGCATTTTGAGCGGGCCCCTCGATCTGAAACACGGGGGTGGTAGCAAGGAGCGGTGTGAGCGATGTTCGCTCACTTGAGCACCACATGTTTTCAGTCCAGCCGAATCGGAACCTGAGGATTCAAAACCTAGCTGTTTCGAACATCGCTGCAGAGGTTTCCGATCGTCTCCATTGGTCTGAAAGTCGTTAGGTAGGCCTTCAGCGCGCATGATGTCTGCATTGAAAGAAGCCACAGTTTGGAAACTGTCAGTTCTACATAGCCGAAGCGTTCCGTGTCGAAACCCCCATGCCAAGCTGAGCCGAAATCCTCCACGAGGTACTTCGAAGCCACGTCCCTGCTCCTCGCCGCCGGCGCACGTTTCTCGGCAGGAGAGGATGTGGATTTGTAGGGCTTTGGGCTCGCTGCGGGCGTGGACTTTACAGTATCCAGCAGCCCAAAATGATCCGCTACGAAACACGCAACCCTTCTACTGTAAGCGAGTTGATGCATGCACCGTCGAGACCCTTACATAATTGAAGGATGAGTCCAGCGCCAACGAACAGAAAGCAGCTTTCAGAAGTCTCAGAAGCTTCATAGACTTGAAGAAAGGATGTCGAATGCATTTGCATCAGGTGCCCATCTGTGAGTCCCGACATCGCATGCAACATGTGCAGCTAACCCAGAAGCATTTATAGTTGCCTGCTTCTTTACCCGTATACCCGTAAGAAGAGGGAGAGGGACCTTCCTGGGCAGAAGAAGTCTTTGAACAAGTTGAAAGCATTCCGCAGAGCCTGTGGACCTTAAGGTTTGGACACTCAAAACTCCCGCAAGAAGACGGCAGCAGATTTTGCTCGCGCAATGCGAGCTCCGGAGCCGCTTCTGCGATCTTTGCAAGGCACGTAATTAATGGATGGTTGCCGGGTGCAATGGTCAGACAGATAAAGCAGTACTGATTAGTAGTTGTCGTCGTCGGGCAGCCAATGCAGCAGTAGTAGTCGTCGTCGGTGATTGTGGTTGCGGTGGTGCCAGTGGTAGTGGTAGTTGTTGGCAGCACGTGCGTCTGCCGCCGCGCGGGGTGTGACGATTTCCTGGCTGGCATGTGCTGAAACTCGAGTTTTGGCCCTTTCCTCTCCCGAAATTTATTTTGAGACTTCTGTTTTCGTCGGTATTTGCGGTGCT